CAACTCAGCCCTAATGTCTGTTAAGTGGTGTTCACAAAGTGCAGAGCTGCTCCTGTTTCCTCTCTCGTGGGCATGGTGGGCTGGAGCTGTTGTTTCCAGGAGAGGCAGGAGCCACTTGGCAGCACTGGATGAGGCCAGGGTGCTCTGAGCTCAAAGCCACGTCTGGAGCTCCACTCTGGTGTTGAGATGCTCCTCATACATCACTTAGGCACTATCAAGTGGTATCATCAAGACTATGAAAAATCTTGTTGAAGATGTTTTTGGATTGCTACTGAATCCTGCCCTGGCTTGGTGCCACTACGAGGCCACCAGCCTGGCTTTGCATTTTTCCCCCTAATTCCTTCCACCCCGTGTGGGATGGCCCGGGCAGTGCAGGAGGCCCTTCCTTTTGCCCCAGGGGCAATGGAAAGCTCTGCTGCATGGGCACAGAGACCCTGTGTAGACAAGAACTGGGTGCCTGTTTCCAGTATCTTTATTTTCTGTGTCCTCTGACTTCTAGAAAAGCTGCTGAGAGTTTTGTTTGTTTGTTTGTTTGCCATTAGAAGTCAGGCAGGGAAGCATATGGTCTTTGTATACTACAGTGACTAATACATGTCTGGCAAGGTCTGCACTCACCCGTAGGAAGGGAAGTGGTGCCCCTGGTGCTGCAGATGACACTGCTCTTGGCACTGCCACTTCCACCACTGACAGTGACCGGGGACAGCAAAATAGCCACTGGGCTGTGCCCAGCAAAGCCCATAACTGCCCCGTGTGCTGGCCATGGTTAACTCTTCACTGCAGGCTCAAGTGGCAGCAGGGGAGGATCCTCTGCCAGGAAAATCAGCCTGGGTCTAGGTGGCTGGTGTTCAGTTTTAGTTATGAACAGCTTTTTTGCAGTGTGTGAGGTGATGCCTATGGGAAGGTGGATGGGTCCAACCCACACACTGTGTCTGGCCATCCTGGAGGGAAGGGTGCGGGGAAGGGGAAGACAAGACAAGTGGGTGGCAGGTGGCAGGAGCTGGAGGCATCGTCCCGTCACCCACCCTGTGTCTGGGTAGAGAAACAGCTCCGGGGAGGGAAGCGCAGGCTGATGTGTCTCTATGCTCTGGTTTAAATCTGTGCAGCCAGTGCTGGCTGAGAGGTTCTGTCCTCTGCACCCCCCAAAACTGGTCACCATGTTTCCATCCAGAGGTGGCCACATCCCAGCAGGGACCATGTGCTGACAGCAGAGCTGGGGCGGCAGGAGGGGGCTGTAAAAACCAGTTCACCTTGGCAGGCGCCGATTTCACTCCCATTCATTTCCATTAAGCCACATGGGCACTGAACAAGAGGGAGAGCTGCTGCCAGGGTTTCACAGACCTCTTTTCATTTTAATATCCCTCTCCTTGCTGAATTAGACGCGGGACTGATTGCTTCGATAATCCTGCCGCAGCCGCTACGGGTTATATATGGATTGCAGCCAAAAGCTGTGCTGATAAATCATTCCTATACACCAGGCTGTTAGATTTCCTGAGGATTTTGTGGGCATGTGCTGCTCGCTTTTACATAAGGATCTGCTGGAGTGCAGACCAGAATGTGCCACTTTTTCCCAGGCAAGAACTCGGCTGTCTTGGTGAAGCTAAAGCCCCTGAGCTGTATTTCCCCCCGTGCCAGCTATTTTAATTTTCCCTCTGGCTGGGAATATGGCTGTTCTCCTCCTCCTCAGCCTCCCTGTGTGCTCTTAAGGAAAACTGGCTGCATTATCATCAGCAATTGTCCCATGTCCCACGGGGCTGTGTTGGACAGTGGGATCCCACTTTTGGGTGTCTCCTGAGGAAGGTATAATCTCACAGGGCAGTTTTTGCAAAACCTTGTGCTCAGCCCCTTTGCAAAGGGGGAAAAAAGCTCCAATTCCCCCCCCAGCTGATGTTATGACGGTGCTGGGATGACTTTTAGCCTGTTCCCAGCACGTGGGGAAGCCCTCTCGCATTAATCAGCCTTGATATGTTTATTCTGGTCAAGCCAATTAACTCCCACCAGCCAGGGCACGCTCGGCTCTCAAGTGTGGCAGAGACTTCATAACTCACTTTCGCTCTAAGTCCAGCCCTCAGAAATTCAGACTCAGGGAATGCTCTGGGAGCAGGACAGGACACTTGGCCATGCTGTGCCACCGCTGGGGGCCAGCGCTGTGGTCAGAGATGCTCCTGGGGTGGCTTCATCCTGGGGTTGCTGCCTTTTTTGGTGTGGCCGTGGTGCATGGCGAGGGTAAGAGGGCACAGCGTTTGGGATCAGCCCTGGCTTCGAGGGATGGCTATTTATATGTGCCTGCTGGCAGGCTGCCCAAACCAAGCCGGGCAAATGGCAACTGGCCTCGAGATGCATCCCTGTGCATTCAGGATGAATCGGAGGGTGGAGGGGAGAGCTGCTTATTTTAATCCCTTTTGGGAGTGCATTAAAACCCACTGCCGAGGCCGCTGGCAGCACCAGGGGGGGGAACTTCGCAGCCACGATGCCCAAGATGTGGAGCCCCGGCTCGGCTTGGGCCTGCTGGGGGCTCCCGGG